TTCAGCATCATTACTGCAGTCTTCAGTGTCACATGATCCTTCAGAAATCATTCTAGTATGCTGATTTGATGCTCAAGAAACATTTCTTACATTGTTGAAAGAGTGACTGAAAGTTTAAAGAACATCATTTGGTTGAAATGGTAATATTTTTTATCATTACCATCATGGCTACCCACTGCTTCGGGTGTGTGTTCACGGTGTGTGTGTTCACTACTCACTGCTGTGTGTGTGTGCACTTGGATGGGTTAAATGCAGAGCACAAATTCCGAGTATGGGACACCATCCTTGGACGCACGTCACATCACTTTCACTTTTTCACTTTCATTTTCAGTTCCCAGAATTTTGAACAGTAGAGTAAGGGCTCATTTACAAAAAAATAAACAATCAAAATGGTATAAAATCTATGATAAAATTACTTAAATGTAGGCCAACAACATCCGTTGAAAGATGTGATTTGAAGTGGCACAAGCACATATGAACCTGAATCATACAATGAATCACATTTAAAAATAAATTTATTATGTATTATTTATATCAACCAGTTAGGTGGACTAGCATTTCATTTTTGCTGCCATTTGACAAGGTTAGTAAGGTTAATGAAGATAACTTCATAACCACCTAGCTGGATTAACATTTCATACAGTTGCTGCTAATTGTCAAGGTTCGTAAGGTTAGCGTTTCGACACTGTTTGCTGTGTCCTTTTTAAAAAAAATATTCTCTTCTCGTCCCTCTCTACATGTCACTTACAGCGGCCTGTCCAATTGCAGACTCTCTTAATTGTCTCATAACAACATAAAAAAGAAGATAGAAAATAAGCATTCAGCACGAGATCAAATGGGGGTCTATGTAGGTCACGCACAATATGGCGCCTGCAAGTTTACAGCTGGTGCTCGTACCACCATTATCCCACAACAATATCGCCGAGAGGAACTTATTTGAGCCCATTAGCCCATGTCCCCTCCTCCTACATTAACAAAGCCTTTCTTTAAACGAGCCAAGACAATAAGCTCTCAGAAAGGGTAGCGGGGGGAAGAACAGGGGGACTGGAGGGGAGGTGGCAGGTTTAGCCCGGAATCCATGATAATGACTGTTTCTGTCCATGGCCTGAAAAAGACTTGAATAATGTTTCTTTTTCTGTGGGGACCCGAACAATAGATGCAGGCCTGGCTTCAAGAACGGCAAGCTTTTGGTTATTGGCTATTACAAAAAAAAAATCTCATCTTTGCCACTCACACCAAACCTCTTGGCTTTATTATCGTACAAAGTCTTAATGTTGTCGACCACAATTTAAGAATCCATAGATCTTTTATGCAGTTAGAGAATTTGTATGGCAATTCATTCCAGGCCCACGTGGGTTGCTAATGACTGTGATATATGTACAGTTTGTGTGGGATGTTGGTCTGAGTTGTGAGAAGAAAGACTGGAAAAATATAATCTCTGCAGTATTACAGAGTAGCTATAAAATGATTTTACACACTCCTACACAACAACTCATGTCTTATTCAGTATGTATCACTGCTATGGATCATAAACAGTTTTTTCCCCCATGCCATCTCCAGCCTAAACAGCTAACACTGAAGTTACCACCGGTTTTCTGTAATTAATTTTTTAATAACTAATTATTGCCTCTCTCTCAAGTATTATGTAAATGCATATACCTATTTTCATTTATACAGCTATAGTAAATAACGTACAAATTTGTACGTAAATCTCCTGTTCCAGATGTATATACCACATTTACATTATTATTTATTTATTTATTGTTTTTTCCTTAGTCTGACTTATTTAAATGTTCTTTCTGTTTTCATGTCTATATGCATGTATATATGAACCAAGAGCTCCTAAAAAACCACAACAAATTCCTTGTATGTTTGCACACACTTGGCGAATAAAGCTCATTCTGATTCTGATTCTGATAGTGGAGGTTTGGTGGCATGATGTCAGGAAGCATATTTTGTTGATGGGTAATAGAGCCAATGTTATTTTGCAAACCTTGAGAATTTGTTATGACTTTTAATACCCCTCATTTTATAGTCATTGTGTTAAGAAGGAGAAAAAAACTTATATTGCTTCACTTGAGTAGCCAATCTGAAATAACACTTGCCTGACAAAAAAGTAAATGCTGTTATGGTGTCATGTGTGTACTGTACAAACACCATACTGTAATATTATGTCCATGAATTTATGTGGCAGTCCAAGATACATTAAAGAATACCATAATACTATTTGGAATATATTATTTTAATCATGACATTAAAGGATTTAAGTATGTGGAAAAATAACGGCAGTCGGAACCATTTAACGCAGGGTGTTGTTTCACCTGGTGCGCATTTTCGCTGACGGAACTGAATGTGACCGATTGTAAACAGATGCGGGTGAGTCATTTTCACATACAAATAACATATTATTCGCTCTTTTCATGCTTAGACTTTTTATTATAGTGATTCTCTGATTATATTTGATTCATACTCTTGTTACATTCGCTGTGAGTTTAACACAATCAGATGACACAAATGTCATTGTCAGATGATGTAGCTGAGTGCTAACTAGCTTCATGATGAAGTCATCGGCTGAATTCATAGAAGCAGCTTGCTTGTAAATAAAAACACAATCTCTGTCAGAAGAGGGGAAAATCTAGATATTAGAGTTTGTTCATCGTCTTTTTTTACGTATGTTCTCGTATATCTTGTAGCTTGTTTGTGTGTGTCAACTGCACTTGGGTGAACTGCCAGTCCGCATCAACTAAGTAAGGCTATTCAGGATTCTTGTCGATTTAACGTTAAATGTTGTCTATGGTTTTTAATCAGCGAAGAACGTCTGGTGTGAACAGTCAGCATTAGATGGCTGAAGTAAGGTGACATCGCTCTGTCTGTTTTTGTCAATCAAGTCACATTTGTTTATATAGCTCTTTATACGATAACGATTGTTTGTTTCAAAGCAGCGTCACAGTAATAAACAGGAAAAATAACAGTGCTAATGTTTTAAAATGTATCAATTTTGAAATTAATTCAATTCAGCTATAAAGCAGCTCTACAAAAGGCAATAGTGTTATTATTCAACAAATACAGCTGAATATTAATTCTGAATTGTCATTTAAACCCCAAACTGAGCAAGTCAAAGGCAACAGCGGCAAAGAAACAAAACTCCATCAGGTGACAGTATTGAAGAAAAACAACACTTTTTTTCTTTTTCCATTGTATTCTTTGAAGATGGTATCATTAGCATCTGAGACCACAGACAGTACTTTTACAGTGTAATACACATTTAAATTTTTAATATGATTATATCGTTCACTATTTACACATATCAGTGGTGTGTGCAGTAGTGTTCTGAAATTAAGTTTTTTTCTTTTTTAATAAAATGTAAATTCATGCCCAAGTCACATTTTCTTGGTTTAATAAACATGACTTCCACTCTCAGAAAAGAAAGAAAGAAAAAAAAACAATTCTGTTTTTTATTTTTTCCATTAACAATGTAATCAATATTATATTTATTAAAGCCAAGTATGAATCTCATCAAGTTTGTGTTTTTAAGCATTTTACATTTATTCCCAGTGCTAATGTTTTAAAATGTATCAATTTTGAAATTAATTCAATTCAGCTATAAAGCAGCTCTACAAAAGGCAATAGTGTTATTATTCAACAAATACAGCTGAATATTAATTCTGAATTGTCATTTAAACCCCAAACTGAGCAAGTCAAAGGCAACAGCGGCAAAGAAACAAAACTCCATCAGGTGACAGTATTGAAGAAAAACAACACTTTTTTTCTTTTTCCATTGTATTCTTTGAAGATGGTATCACCATCAGAGACCACAGACAGTACTTTTACAGTGTAACAGGTCAAAAGATAAGCAGTCTAGGTTACTGGCAGGGTGATTGGTCATGTGTTTCCTCTCAGTCAGATCTATGATAATATGATTTCATGTTCCAGAATGACGACACATAAGTTTTTGCTCATCACAGTATAACCCTTATTCATTGTGGCAATAACCTGAATATGTTGTATAAAATGGTGTGGTGTGGAGATTGATGTTAGCTGTGAGATGGTTAAAAATAGAATGGTAGAGAAGGGCCTCCACATCACTGTCTGAATAATTTGTCTAAGCAGAGGTGTGAACTGTGAACATCACCGGCTCAAGTTTTTACTGTAGCAGGTCTGGTTCTCAAGGCTGGCTGCTGCTCTAGACCAGTGGTTCCCAAATTGAAATTGGTGTGTCAGAGAAAGGAGATATGCAAAATGTGCAGTGTTGGGGTGCCTCCAGGACCAGGGTTGGGAACCACTGCTCTAGACTACTTAGTTTTAAAGGGATAGTTCACCCAAAAATAAAAAAATCTGTTGTCATTTACTTTGATGCTCATTGATTTCCTGTTGGTCTCGCATTATCTTTCTTTCTTTGTTTCTCTGTTTTTTTCCCATGGGTCTGGCGAGTCTCTGATCTGAGATGATGTAATGGTCTTTTAATAATTGATGGTTTAAAGAAAGTGAAAGACCCCGAGTCGGAGTGCAGAGGAAATCAATGTTAGTGTGGGAGGAGGTAGACATGAGTAAGATGAGAAGAGGCTGCATGTTCATGAGAAATGAAAACAGAAAGAAGCCATACTCATGTTTAGAAAGGCAGAGAACCCCACCCCAGGCTGGAAACTTCCAGTGATGATCACGGTTTGTCTGCGCACCCGAAGCTCTGGAACGTTAGGTAGGCTGCTGAACGGATTCCACAGCCACCAAGGTAGTAGTGTGAAATTGCTGGTGGCTTACTATGATTATGCCATGTGTGAAAACACAGGTCAAGGTAAGTGGAGTTCAGCTGCTGACTCTGTATCTCTGTTCCAAATGATAGCTAGCTGCCTACCTCTACGGCATTTTATGCCATTGTTTCAGAAGCCATACCAAAAGGAAGCAGCATTATGGGCCATTCACACAGAATACGTTTTTGTGTGAGATGCAGTGGAATAGAAAAGAACACAGGCTCTTGATACTTGAGTTTCTTTTTACTTTACACAGAAGTTTATATGGAAGATGCTGAAAAAACAGCAAGATGTGGTGCAACAGGAAAAGTTGTCCATCTAGTGCTTTTACATAGAAAATGCAAATGCGCCTGGTGAGGACACACACCTCCGAAGAAATCCAATATGTAGGTACAACATTTGATAAGAATCGTACTTTGAACCTTTAAAAACGTAAGTTCTTTATAGTTATAATTTGTGTAGTATGAATGTAATCTAGATGTACAACTTTTTGTCACATTGTCACTGTCACGTGACCTGTCAGCACAAGTTGTGTCACTTCACTGCCGTTCACAACTCCACTCCTCTGGCTTCATGGAATAGTAAAGTGTCCACTGGATGTGCATTTTGAAATCAGAGTCAGCAGAAGTAGTAGGTCATCCGGAGATTTTTGGTCTATTTTTTTATTTTTTGTTATAATTATTGTGAATTTGTACTCAAAGTGTGTTGCTGACTATGTAGAGCATTCAAAGTCAGTCATTTAGGATGCCACCTTAGCAGGCAACTGTCTATATAGGTGGTAAATAGCAAGAAAGCTTACTAGAGTTTAAGAACAAAGCAATCATGTCTTGAAAAATTGCTTGTTTTTATTGTCTATTTGGGGCTCAACTGTTGTACAATTACTGTTGTCATACTTTTTGCTCAAAGGCTGATCATACTAGACTAGAGCATCAGCTGTTCATGGAGTTACTGCTGTATTTACTGACCGTCATGTGCTTTTTTCTCTTGTTTGTCTAAATTCAGGATGGCGGGCCCTGGGGAAGGACGTCCTGGTGCCACATTGCATTTATCACTCTGAATTACTGCCTTACAGACTGCAGTGATTTAATTGAGGCACTTGTCTGAATGTGGCAACACTTGTTCTAGACAGCACTGTTTGTACTCGCCTTACCCAGTGCTGATACTGATAGCTGGCATAGCGGTCAGTTCTCATTAGGTTCTTGATTAACAACATTGGCTCATAAAATGACAGTCCTGGAAGGGGTTCAGGACTTTGTGGACCATCTGTTTTGCTACACTTTCTTTTGGGTTCGGACAGCAGATGTTTCGTCTGTGGTTCCCTCAGGCCTTTCGATCCTGCCGTGTCTACCCTCACACACGTAAGGAATCGGTCCGTCCGCTCCACCCCTCTGCTTCCTCTGTGTCGCCAAAACTGTCAAGGTGATGGAGGGTCTGGAGGTCGAGGACATAAGCCCCGCCCTCGAGGCCACTGAGGACTTCTTGCACTGCCTCGATGACAATCAAGGAGATGGCCAGGTACGTCCGCCCAAGCATAAAGAGGCCTCCACCTTGGACAGGTTAAACTCCAGTGGGGTGTGGGGGCTACTGACAGGAAAGCAATCCGAGATATCACCCAGCAATATGGCGTGGGCGGGGCAGACGTCTTTCACTGTGCTTGGCCTGCGACATGGAAAAAGGAACCGGGCAAGATCTACCAACGATTTGGCGGCTCATGCCAAAGAAACAAACTCTACCACCAATACATGCAGCGGTGGATTCAAACGTGGCCACAACCGCTCCCGTTCAGACGTCAACAACCGCACTTACACCGATAATGGCATACCTGCCATTGACAAAAATACACTCAAGAACATGGCACTGAATGACCACAGAGATGGTAAGAATTAAACTAACATTCATATATTTATTTTGAATTGTTGTGTGGTGCAGAGGTCAAACAATTTCAAATCATATCTCATTAAAAACCAGGTATTTCACTTACAAGATTCTGTCCACACTGAAAGTGAAAATGCTGAGTGATGCCACACAATCACAACCACAGAGCTTTATTGATGCTTAATAGCGCAACAATGCCATCCATTTTTTCAGCGGCCTTGGTTCTGGAAATATTTTTCCAACAGGCATTTTTTTGTAAAAAGTTATAAACCATGAGGCGAAGCACTGTGAACTTATGTTCAGCTGTTCTTTTTAATAGTTAACTTTTAACTTTTTTTTTTAATTTTTCATGTCATCAGTCCTCAAAGCTCGGTAAATATTGGTCACAGATACAGAGATTTACTTTAAATTACACCAAGCTGATTACTCACTAAAAACTCCCACAGATCATGTTTTCAGGCCATTTCAAGTCTTATTTTGACGTAACAAAGTGGTTATATCTAAGTGTGTGACTTGTTTACTTACTTTTTTTAAATTAGTATTGCCATTAACACCATTATATTGTTCATTCAGACTGATTCGTGAACATGGAACGCACACAAACACAAGAGGCGGGATTTATTGCATGAACCAATCACAGTCGATCATAACGAGTCATATCCAATCATATCGCGATGGAGGCATTGCCTCCTCTCACGTGAATTTCCCCATTCGTTCTCAATTACCCCCCACCAAACCAAAGTCCCTTTAAGGTCATTTAAGTTGTTTCAAGGCCCTTTAAGGGCATTTTAAGTCATTTCACTCAGCGGCCATCTTTGAAGCGCCTCTCGGGCATGCAAGTGCAGCTCCTATCACTTTGAATGGGGAAACATCATATTCTCCAAAACTGTTCGCCAAGCTTACGGTTAAATTTCATATTTGAAGTCACCAATGAAATCTGACAACAACTGTCTCATAAATGTTGTTCCTTTTGCTCTAATAGCATAAAAAAAATGCTTATTTAGCAACCGGGACTTCTAACGGCAGCTGCAGTGACTTTTATTCAGAAGGCGGGGCTTCCTTCAATAAATGTGACGTGACATGTGGCCAAGTATGGTGACCCATACTAGGAATTAGTGCTCTGCATTTAACCCATCCTTAGTGCACACACACAGCAGTGAACACACACACACCGTGAACACATACCCGGAGCAGTGGGCAGCCATTTATGCTGCGGCGCCCAGGGAGCAGTTAGGGGTTCGGTGCCTTGCTCAAGGGCACCTCAGTCGTGGTATTGAAGGTGGGAGAGAGAGAGAGAGAGAGAGAGAGAGAGAGAGAGTATTCAATAGAGTGGCCATATTGAACATTGCATTTTCCCCATTTAAAACTATATGAGTGAGACGTCTTGGGTATTCTATAGTCTTTGACCAAACCCACCGCATGCTTTAGGGCTTCAGTTAAAACTCAATGGGCTCAGGGGAGGCACTGCCTCCGTTGCCACCTCGGAGGAAACGGCCCTGATACACACACACACACACACACACATATATATGTGTGTGTGTGTGTGTGTGTGTTTTTCTTTATTTTTGCCAGTGAATGGGTGCTGAAGAGATTCTTTGATTGTTGGCTATTTCTTTGCAGAATCATGGCTAATTTAGTTTTTCATCAGGAATTCCACTGTTAAACACATTTATTAAAATTATTAAAAAATAAGAATGTGTGGTGATGGCTTCAACAAATAGATATACCATTGGTTAACAACCTCATAGCTTACTGTATGCCTGTTTTTAAAGTTTTTTTTTTAAGTTATTGTTAAAAATTAATTCCTTTATGGAGAAAATTAATGGGATTTTTACCTCCGGAACCCGGCTGTTGCATTGCATATACAGTTGCATTAAATAGGACTTTGGACCAATAAAATTTCATTGTCCCACTTGTCACTTGTTGTGAATGATTAGGACAAAAACTCAACATGGAAAAGACTATTCACTTGCTAAAATGCTAAAATGATTTTATCACTTTGCACACTTTATTAAAATGTCACGTGATGTTGTAGCTTTTAATCTCCCCACACCTGTGATTTGTTGTGTCTGCGTTTCTGTCAACACTGCTCACCTGCGCGCTCTGCAGGAATCACCTCCTTTTATGTCGAGGGGGTTCAATGAGTTTTTGCCTGCCTGGTTTGGCCTGTTTGTTTTTGTGTGTTTTCGTCTGAAAGGCTTTATTTAGACAAGGTCATCCCAGAACAAGAACAGTAAAGACATAGCGCAATATTACGATGAACATGCTTGCTATGATTTAATACAATACATATTATTCACCAATACAAACTGTCACATTAAGCTTTTTATATCCAGTGTAGTCTGATTTAATTCTGTCTTAACTCATTTTGAAAAGGCTGATTTATTTCTACATCCAGTAAATCAGTACTAGGTTTTGCAAAATGGAAGGTGATACCAATCCTCTTGGCTGTCCTTGCATCTGTGTTAAAACTTAATGGAGCAAATTGTTAGTTACACCAAAATGTGCCAAAGGGAGCAACTGGAAATAGAAGTAAGTTCCACGCTCGAATGCCCACCGTTTCTTGAGTGACTGGGATTGAATCCTAAGTGACATTAAGGTATTGGCAACCCACCCAGTTTCTAATGCTGATAGATCTACTGATTAAGACTGGAGAAACCCCTACACACCTCACTGCACAGGTCTCAGTGTTTGCGTTATGCTTGACTTGGTTCTGTAGTTCATTACAAGCATCAATTTCAATATAGACTGCTTTGTTTGCACTTATTCTTCAACATCTTGATTTTTAACTCCGAGACTGGCCTTAGATTCAACTTAATTTGAATGTTGTTTTCTTTAAAATATAAATGACATCTTTTTTTAAACACTTTTTACCTTTTGCATTTAATTGTTCTCTTTTGTAATAGACGATTACACTAGCGTTCAAAAGTTTGGGGTCAGTAAGATTTATTTTTTATTGATCTAAAGTTAAATTAAGAAAAAAAAAATCAAAAAAAGATAAATACATTTATAATGTTACAAAAGATCATATTAGAATGATTAGAATGATAATCATTAGCATATTAGAGTGATTTCTGAAGGATCATGTGACTGTAGTCATTACTCAAGTAATGACTGCTGAAAATCCAGCTTTGCCATCAGAGGGATAAATTACATTTTAAAATATATTCAAAATTTAAAATGGTTATTTTAATTTGTAGTAATATTTCATAATGTTGCTGTTTTTGCTGTCATAATCTTGCTGTTTTTGATCAAATAAATGCAGCCTTGGTAATCATAAGAGACTTATTTTAAAAGCAATTGAAAAAAAATCAATCTTACAGACGCCAAACATTTGAACGGTAGTGTAATTTCAGTCTCTGGCCTTCTAAATGGATTAGGAATATTTTTACCATGCGAAGGTCAGTGGTTGTCAAATTTATATTTATTTCATTTTGGTCTCTGACAATCAGTGTAACAAAAATTGTCGTTAATTGAAGTGCAAAGTGGGTAGAGATTATACTCAGCTTTTCAGCTGTGTTCATCATGACGTCATGTTATGATGTGACTATTCCATGTGTTCTGTATGCTGTGTTTGATTACAGCAGGCCTGAATTGAGTCATGCCTACTCATTTGCATGTTTATTGGACCTCAAGCAGTACAATTTTATTGTTAGTTGAATACAGTTATACAGGTCTTAAATTGGATTTACACTGCAGTCGTACTGCGTCTCGCTGAAGAAAATTGCAGGGTTTATGGATAAGGATTAAGGAGTCAATCAAGGTTGCTTGATTGTCTTGGTCTGTTTTGTCAAACTGAAACAAATTAACCACCATGTAGGTATACTTTTTTTTTTTTTAAGTTATATTAGTTTAAGAGACAATGGCAAAACTGAATTTTCAGCAGCCATTACTTGAAATATTCAAGAAACATTTATTATTATTGTCAGTGTTGAGGTATGGGGTAGGATCTAAAGTATGGTCAAGAATAAGGCATTAATATGTGCTTTATAACGAAGTACTAATAAACAGCCAATATGTTAGTAATATGCATGCTAATAAGCAACTAGTTAGTTAATAGTGAGAATTGGTCCCTAAACTAAAGTGTTACCCTTCATTGGCTTGATCAGTTTAATGCATTTGAATAAAATTATTAATTTATAAAAAATAAAAAAAAAAGAATGGTAGTATATATTTAGAACTTGTTTGCTTATATATTATATAAATAAGTCGCAGTAAACTTTAGTAGTTTGGTCTTAAAAATGTCCAGATAACATTGGCTTTCACTCAGCTCCATTCTGGCTCACTGTTTGCATTTGTCTCCTTTTTTCCTTTCCTGCTCAGGTTTCCCTCGTGCCCATCCATAAGTGGTAGCAGCACTAATACTGGTTTTATGTGCCATGTCTGTCTCAAATGGGTCTTTTAGTCACTTGCAGATGAAAAGGTCTTAGAAATGTTCAGGCTCTGCAGGCAGACTGGCCTTGCACCAGCTCTCTAATTGGGTCATGTCAGCACGCCTCACGTCCTCTCTGCCGTGAAATTAGTAGTGACTCTTTCCATAGCTGCAAGCTATGCACCTTTGAAGACCTCAGAGTGCAAGGAGCCCCCAAACATCCACAACGATGCTCCAGAGTGCCAAAGCACATCATCTGTTGTAGCTTTTACTGGCTACCCAAATGAACCCAACCCTCTGAGCTCACAGCTTATCAGCACAAGAGGGAGGGGACTGTCCGTTATGTTACAGATAGGAAGGTGCAGTTTTAGCTGGTACATTAGGGATAAGACTTAAAGAAAACAATTGCTTTAATTTACCCTCCTCCTGGCCTCTGTCTGTTTCTATGGGTCTGGCCAGCAGGACCTGATGCCCGGGGCACCCAGCAGGTTCCCGAAGGCTGGGAGGAAAACGGGCAGTTTCCAGCCAAGGAAGTGTAACGATGAGTGGTGTTGTGGACCAAGAGAGGAAAGGAGATAAAGGAGGCAGTGTGTGAAAGAAATGGACAGAGAAAGGAAGGACTGAAAAGGAGTGCCAAAGATTAGGGGTCACTTTTTGCCATTCTGTTTGCACAGCAGCCTGACACACAATAATGTTTCTTCCTGCTTTGAGGTGGCTGGATAAACTGTTATCACATAGCACAATAGCATCCATCATAAATGATGTGAACATCTCTCACACAGGGCTCCAGACTAATATGGTGCCAGCATGTTCTGCAAAAGGAGGAACTAGTCATGGTGTGATGGGCAAATAAAAGGAAACCGTAATTATTAACATTGATATATAGCAATTTTTGGACAGGATTTTATAATTTTATATTTATATTTATAGAACTTTATCATTTTCTCACACAACATTCGTAAAATTGTTTAAAATCTTTATTTTGTTATTTTTTGCTAAAGTCCTCTGAGAAATGTAATCCTGAAAATAATCTTTTTTATTTTTTTGTGGTTTTCTGTAATTCTTAAGGCCAATTTTGCCTTAATAGTCCTCTGAGATTATTATTATTTTTATGTTTCTCATTTATTTAAAAATGTTTGCCTTTTTTTGTTGGGTTGGTAAATTGGCTAAAAATATACATTTTTATTTAAAGTCCTCTGAGAAATATAATCCTCAAAACAATCTGTTTTTAAAAAAATAATATTTTTTGGCTTTTTTTGTTAACAAATGTACAACCATTTTTTTTATTAATTAATTTATTTATTTATTTATTGCTAAATGCCTCTGAGAAATGTTATCCTCAGAGAGCAGTTGTTAGTTAAAATAGTGTTGGCCTTCCCTCCAGCATAAAAGGAAAATCAAATCAATAAGTAGAGTCTGATCACGGACTGCTCACCTTAGTACTTATTGTTGCAAAATAATGACTCAAACCTAAATCAAAAGTCTTGTTTGTATTGTACAGTTCACCAGAAAGTACTTGATCCACAATATTTTTTCAAATTCTCCTGTGCAATTTCAATTCTTGTTTTTGCCATTAGCTTGGCATGGTGTAGTAATCAAGTAATCATATTTACGGTTATTTCATTCAATATAAACTTTTTTTCTTTTAGTCTGTAGTTTGTTATTGGCATTAAAGGTGCTCTTTCTGACATTTTTTTTCCTAGCTCATAAGGAAAGCAGCCCTAGCCTGGTGAAGCAGGGAACTCTGGAGCAGAGAGAGGGTCTGTGGGGACGCTGGACCTCCTGTCACGTGGAGCTTACACCCTGTGAGCTGCGTCTCTACAGCCTGGACAGCAGCGGCAACCAGCAGCTATGTGCTGCCCTCTCGCTGTCCCACTGCCAAGGAGTGAGCACGCCCCAGCCGCAGGGTGGACGTGTACTGCAGGCTGTCTTCTTCAACAGCACTCGCGTGCAGTTACGCGCACCCTGCCAGTGGGAGGCACTGGAGTGGCGTAGACTCCTCTGGGAACGTGTCTTGGCTGCCCGTCCAGCCAATCGCAAAGGGGAGCCGGCCCGTGCCAACTCCCCTACCCCTCACGAACCCCATCCAGATGCGGTGACGGTGCCAGTCCCTCGACCCCTGGTACGTCCCACGGCCCTACCACTGTTCACCCAACACTGTGCTGATGTTCTTAAGGCTGGCCTTCTGCACCAACTCACCGACCTCAACAACTGGAGGGCCTTCACGTTTGTACTGAGCCGCACCGAGATGCAGGCCTTTCCGACCGAGGGAAGAGGCCCAGTGTCGGAGCCAGTGTTCAGGTACCCGCTGGCCTCCTGTCTGGCTGTGCAGTGGGACGATGAAGACGGAGACACCAGCTCCCGCTTCCAGGTGGTCTTCCCTGATGATGTGCTGTGCTTGCGGACCGAGAGCGAGTCCAAGGCCCAGGACTGGGTGGAGGCATTGCGCACGGCAGTGACGGCTCAGCAACCACAGTGGGAGAATAACCAAGTGGTGATAAGGAGTAGGCTAGTCAGGGAGCAACGGCACAGGGAGGCCCAGAGAGCTAAACGGCAGTCCGTCACTACTAGCTTTCTCAGCATCCTTACCTGTCTGGCTGTGGAAAAGGGTCTCACGGCTCAGAGCTTCCGATGTGCAGGTGACCACCTTTTTACAATGCACTTTCAACATTTCCTAAATTGTAATAGCTTTTTTGCATTTGGTTCCTCGTCAGTAAAATTGTCAGGGAGGAATTCACCAAAGTCAATTGCCTTTGCTGAGTGAACATTATGCCTGCAAATTTAGTTGTACCTGTAATAAGATCTCTTTTTAGTCATTAGATTAGAAACCTCCTGATCAATAAAATCCAGTGGTTTTTATTAAGGAAAGGAAATTCCCTTAAAGGAAATTTCCACCCTTTAAGTGGATATGAATGAAATGCTTTCCCACCTGGCTGTAACAACCAGCTTTTTCATGCAGGGTATTTGAAAGCCTCACCGAACAGTGACAGCAGGCACCTGACAATAATTGGCCCATATAAAGCGGAAAAAAATCCCCTTTTATAATCAAAGGCTCCCTGGATGCTGCGATCTGTGCGGAAGCGAATTGTTTGATTCGGGGCCACGAAAGAGATTTTTTTGAATGGGACGTGTTGGCCTAAAAAGAACTAAACAGCTGGGTATATCCCTCCGCTCGGCAGTCCCTCTCTCTCACTCTTTTTCTCTCTAATTTTTATTACCCAAAACTTACAGTTTTGCGACTCTTTCTTTTAATTTTTTCTCCCCAAACAGATGCTCACACCTTATTTTTCTCTTCTATGTTGATCAGTGCTGTATTGCTTTTAACATTTATATTGCGTGTTTGTTTGAGTACTTTTACAGATGTAGACATAATGAGTGCTTCTAAGGTAGAACTAGGCATTAAATAGTCTTAATTTTTTATTTTCTTTTCTTTTAAATAAGACAGTATATTAGTGGTATCTCTCTCAAATGCATCTTTCTTAGACCCTAACCCACATCCAAAATGTCACATAAAAAGAAAGCAAACTGTGATTGGTAATTTTACATGTCAGTCAGACGAGCCCGTCCTTTCTATTTAAAAATGATGGGCCAATCAGAACATGTTTGGGACATGCACCTTAAACATGCTTCTATGAACACTTAAGACCTCCCTGCCCTGCACATTTTGTATGTCTCCCTCATCTATCACACCTGATTCAACTCATCAGCTCATTAGTGGAGACTGCATGACCTGAAGTGGGTGTGTCAGATATAGGGAGACATACAAAACGTGCAGTGCTGGGGGTACTTCATGGAGAGGTTTGAGAACCACTGCTGTAGAGCATACAAGGACAGCAGATCAAATGGGAAGATCCAGCTGTAGGTGGGAAAAGAGGGAGTGTAGGGTCAGGTGGAGAGAATGGGGTCCAAGGGACTGCTGTTTACATCAAAAAGATGGGTAGTGCATTTGTCTCAAGCAAACACGTGTGAACACACTTACGCACGCACAACCTTATGCCACCTTTGTTTTGAAGTGGATGTCAGCTTGAATAAGGTACATCAAAGCTGGGGCCTTGTCGTCTTTCACATTTATGGAACTACAAAGCCCCACCCTGGGGTTCTTGTGGCGTGGAACTCAACGGGATGCTTGAAAGTGGCACGAGTTGTAGCCTTTACAACAAGAAAACAGAGAAACCTTCTCGCACTGAAGGACCAAACACCTCCTACGGAGTCGTAACGTCTATTCTGCTAGAAAACCATTGTGCAAGTGGCACCTCAGAGTGCCCCGCTTCCCCTTTCTTTTTCCTGCAAATACAGTAGTTGCCGTTTTAGGGCAACAGGGTGCTGCTGAAAATGAAAGAGGGGAATCTTGCGGACAGTCATGGAGTGAACACATCAAACGCCTCTTGTTTGGCACAGCTCCCTGTCTTTCCCACAGTCCCAGGTTGGCCCCACTTTTTGTGCAAGGAACATGCCGTTCCCCTCCACTTATGCTTGGCTATGAGATTGGGAAATGTTGAGAACCGTATTCAATTGTAATTGAATGAGCTTCACACGTGTTAACTGCAAAGCTGCAGCTCCAACCTGCTAGAATCGGAGGCTTCAGTTGGCTCAGAGTGGCTCAGACATCACTGTACCCACAACTAAGGGGATATTTTCTGTGCTGTCTGTCTGGCTGAGATGTGCAAACTTGCACCTTGTGTGTTTGAACGTATGTGGGAACTCATGCGTGGGGCTGTGCTTTACTGGCACAGGCTGCGATGTCCACAATACACAGAGCCTAGCAGCCATCTCCTTCCCAGAAGTGACATGCTCTCTGGCCACTGTCCAGAAGCTCTGTATCCCAACAGTCTTGATGGAAATGTATCAGAAATTTGCTAGAAAACTCATTCAGATGATCTTGATCTAATGTGGCTCTTCTGTACATAATTGTTAATAATTGTTTTGGTACTATGTTTACATGCAATTAAAACATGCATTTACATGCATTAAAAGTTCCGTTTAAGTAGGACTAATTTGATAATATCACATTAATGATTTCAAAGTGATATTTGCGAAGTTGGCCTAACAGACCTAGCCTTACAATGTCATTTGCTTTGCATGTTTAAAAAAAGTCCATTATATTGCTTTATATTGCAAACTGGTGTTTATCATGTTATTTTAAGGTATTATCATAATCATAAACCGGTTTGTAGCGCAAATAGTTTCACTGTTTACCGCACTTAGGGCTGCACGATTATGACAAAAATCATAATTGTCGATTATTCCCTTGAAATTGTAATTGCGATTATTAATTACTATTATCACAATTTACATTGAATGATGTTTATACCATTGTTTTATGCAACTGCATGCCGTATTTTTATATGAAAATAAACAAGCTGAAAACACTCTAACTGAAAAACTTTTAGTGCTTTTCTATAGTATTAAGCCTTAAATGTCAACTAAACATCGGATTGGTTTCTTCTTTAAATTATAAAAAAAGTAAAAATATGAATGGTGTTATAATGTTATACTAAAACTAAAATTAAAATAATGGGAAAAACCCTTAAGATAACATGTAGAAAGAAAAAAAACGCATCTTAAGCACACAGAATAACATAAGTGGACTTAATGAACGATTAATTGCCACTTTGAACGATTACGTAATTGTGGCATCCATAATTGTAATAGCGATTAGAAATTCGATTAATTGTGCATCCGCACTTGAATATTCTTCTAGTTATTTACCTACAGTGGCTAAAGAATCGGAAGTCTCACATATTCAACAAAAATGTCTTACTTCTGCATTGCAAGGTAGACATGGATACATCTGACTATAACTGGCCCTAAAAGAGAGATTATGCACAGTGTTATTTAGTCCTTTAAAATCAGTTTTACGCATTGTGTTATGTTTAATTGGACAGACCGATGAAGACATCTACTAACTTGAATTTGAATGTTGTTGTCCATATATTCTCATTTTTATTCCAGAGCATGTGACATATGTGAGCTGTTAGTTGCTGGTTCTCCTGTGATGTTATACAGAAACTATGCTTTGGAAGCCAGTTGAATGCATACAAACATTGCCATCAAGTTTTGGAGTCACTGTTTCTCCTCTAATTTGTTGCAAAATTTTTGTTTTTCTTTTGCTGAAAAGCACGGCCTCAACTAGCTCTCTCTTAATAACGGTCTCTATAGCATGAGCGCTATACAACGATTTACTATTTTTGGAAAAGGGTGGTATTTGTGGGTTTACGCTCTGCTTGTATGCTGATTACAAGGTAGCTCTGACACACTTCACCCTGCTGCATGAGGTTCAGCCCAAATATCAGGCACCCATCAGCTGTGGCATGGGGGACACCACCTCTGACTTTTTATAGTCTGGGGTCCCTGCCCTTAAAAACCTCAAGTTTACATTGGCAGCACAGTGCAGCGCATGATGTTAGTGCCTAACCTCAGCTATAGAACAACCCATTACGTATTGGTTTGGAAATGGAATAGAGTGAATTTTCTTTTCTTGTTCCAAAATGGCAGTATTCCTTGGCGACGTATTGTGCAAGAGTCTTGATCACAGAAATAACATTTGCCCAGTTTTTGAAAAATGTATTTTATTTTGCATCCAAAATGGCTAAATATGACACAGTTCTCCTTTAAAATTTCTTAGGGCAGTGCAACAATATTGCAGGACATGCATAATGTTAATGCCATCATCAAATTATATAGTTAGATTCTTTAAAAAACATGAAACCGTCCAATCTTACTGACCACAAACATTTGAAAGGTAGTTTACATATTACTGTTCATTTTTTTTTATTCCTTATTCATATTTTATTCATATATTTAAAATATATGTAATATTTACATTTACAATATTAAATATGTAATGAATTTATGGTAATTTGTCACAGGCAGCACTAGTCTGTGTCAAGCATGTCTGAATTGGAATATAACGTTGTTCAGTTTATGTGAATTACTCATTTAGTTTTTTTGTGGTTTCCAACCCCAACAGCATGTGTACCCATTCACTGTAATTTGTATGGAAAGAGCAGTGTGAACACATTCTGCTCAACATCTCCTTTTGAACTGCACAAGTGAAAGAACATTACAGGAATACGGCTGAGTAAATGATGCCAGAACTGTAATTTATGGGTGAACTAACTGTTTTAAATCTGATGGTAAATTATGTAATTTTGCTTACATTCAGGGATGCACGTACATCATCGCTTGGCCCTTTTCAGCCAGCTAACAATGCATCAAAAATAGACCTACAGCGTTGCCTGTAAACACTGTAATCAGTGTCTCCCTTTACAGATATTTGTTTTCTGATTTGTTTTGTCCTCTCTATCCTACCTCCCATCTTGTCCACATTTCTTCTTCTCCCTATGAAGTGTATAGCTGACGCTACGCTCCACCGAAAAGATTGTACTAGTCTATATCCGTCTGTGCCTGTTCCTTTCATTCTTTTTATTCTTTGAACGTCCACACTGTCCCGGCTCTGGTTCTCCCAGATGGTTAGGATAAGGGACACCTGCCATGTTCACAATCACCTGTTTTGGCTCCTTTGGGATAAGCCTTTTGCTGGAGTGCCCTCTGAACTGTTTGAAGACAACTTGAACAACGATTACAAGACCAAGCAATGCACTTTCAGGAGATATCTTGTATTAAATGTGCTCAGGATTTATGCCTGTTCAGTACTAAGAAGCATTTAGATTCTTTCTGTTGTGTCTGGACGGCTAAAAACACCTTTTTTTTGGTTTGGGTTTTTATCAGTGACTCAATCGCTGCCTTTTGTGCAGTACAAATCTTTTGAACCCTCTGGATCATCCGTAATATTTATCTGTGTTTAGCCAGGGTTGTGTTGTAAACCTTGACATATCAGTACACAACCCAAACAGACTGATCACCTTCTGCTAATGATGGTCAAATTTGAACAGAGTCATGCCCTCATCAGTAGATTAGGTGGTTATTAATGTTTTCTTTAACCCAGAGTTGATCTCTCCTGTCCTAGGTTTGATTTGTGTTGTTTGAGGTTCTTCCTTTTAATTGTTGCTTTGTTTTTCCATTTAGGATGTCAGAGGCCAGTGGGTCTGTCACGGTGCGAGGCCAAAGTTTGCTCTTACAGCGGCTGGTACTACTGCCCAAGTTGTCACCAGGACAACCTCTTCCTCATACCTGCTCGTCTGCTGCACAACTGGGACACTAACAAACACAAGGTATGTGTACAGACCTATAAACCCCAATCCATATCTTCAGTATCGTTAATAATTCTGTAAGTTTCTTTGGTGAGTTCAGAAATCAGCTTTTGCACCAACCAACAAAACAAACAATGCAGACGTCCAACAGAAGTGATTCTAATTAACAACACTGTTTTTGTGGCTCAGGTGTCAAAACAAGCAAAAGAGTTTCTGGAGTTTGTTTATGAGGAGCCCCTGTTAGATGTCCAGCAGTTGAACCCGTGTCTGTATGTGCATTGCGAGGCGTTGGTGGCCGTTCTCAAACTGAGACAGCAGCTCCAGTCTCTCAGGGCTTACCTCTTCAGCTGTCGGGCCACAGTGGCAGAAGACCTCCGCCGCAGGTGAGCGATGCCAAAGAGCAGGAACAGGAAAGGCAGGGTTAGTGAAACTGATCTCAAATTGGACCAATATATAAGTGAGTTTGTTTCTCACCTATTTAAAAAGGGGTTACGGTAATGCAAACAAATTAAAATCTACTATGGCTTATTAATGTGACAAATTTATATATTAAAAAAACAACCATGGAGCAAGAGCAAAACTCATTTGGAAGACTGTAGAAATAACAGGTTGTTTCATCTTTACCTTTATATGTTTGCTTTTTTTCTTGTTAAGAACCCGTATAAGAGATTGTATTGTTGTTGGTAACATCAAAACAGTTGATGGAGTTAGAAAGTCAGTAAGATAAGGTATGCTCAGAAATATTTCATTGATATCAGTGCATGAGTGTATAAATATTTCCTAGTTAATTTTTTTTAGTAGTCCAGTGTTTCTGATTACATTGTTTGATTTAGGCCAGCAGGGACACACGCTGAGCTTTTCCTCTTGTAAGATGGCACTGGAAGTGAATATACTGTGGAACAATATAAATATTTGTGAAGTCTTGCAAGGCACATCAAATAGTTGATGACTGCTGCTGGGTGCATCTGTTTGTTTGTTTTTGCACTGCCAGTATGTACAATTGAGGTAGCTTGGTTGTAATATATGTATTAAGCATGTAGCACTAACAAAGTATGAATTTTTAGATGCTATTTCAAGGAATGCATTTGCAGTTGCTGGGAGTAAGATCCTTATGCAGATCTTTAGTGGATTCCTAAGGGCCAGGTTCAGCAGGAATTTGAAGGAGCTGTGTTTATGCGAAGGTTTCGGCACTAAAAGGCTTGTCTATGTGATTAATGCTTCATGCTCTTACCAGGGTCAGTGTGGAGACCACGCGATTGCGCTAGAAGGCCATACACATTCACACCATGAGAGACGAATGCTTGTACAGCTCTGTGATGAAATGTCACATAATGGAAAGCTACCACCAGCTTTTCCCCAAAAAATGGCTCCCCTCCTTTTATATTGACAGTTAATCATCAAAAAAAGACAACTGTTTACTTAATTTAGAGTTAAGTGAAAGTTTATATTTAGATTCTTAAAGGGAGAGTTCACACACAAATGTAAATTTTGTGAAAATGTACTCACCCTCATGTCATTCTAAACCTGTATTACAATCTTTATATATGCTGTAAATGTTATTTTGAACTTCTTTTTTTTTTTTTCAGGAATCTATGATGAATAGAAAGTATCATGGTTTCCACAAATATTTAAGCAGCACAACTGTTTTCAACATTGATAATAATAATAATATTTTTTTCTAATATTACTGTATATACTGCATTTTTGATCAAATAAATGCAGCCTTGTTGAGCAAAAAATAACATTTTTCCAAACTTTTGACCGGTAGTATATACGGTATATGATCAAACTGTTTTTGTCCATACAATGAAAGACAGTAGGGTCTAAAACAACTTTGGACCCCATTGTGTTCCACAAAAGAAATTAAGTTTGTATATGTAAATATATGTTTGTTGCAACACGAGGGTGAGTAAATGATCACAAATGTTTCATTTTTGGGTAAACTAAGAGGAAACTACAGTTTTCTTTCTCCTAGTGTCCATGAAACACATCTTTGGATTGACAGTTCTTTTTGTGGTAAACTAATTTCCATCTTTTTCTATTGAAATAAAGTACGGCATGACAAAAACGTTCAGATGTTGACTTAATGGTGTTGCTAATGCATTCTTAGCTACATGTTCAGAACACTGTTTGTTGTTTGAATCACTGAATTATTGAATGGGCCAGTACCCTTTCCTATGTATTGGCTCCTTTGAACTCCATGGTGACGTAGAAGCGGGATAGCCGTTTGAAGTCCAGACATGAGGGCTCTAGCAAAGCGAACCTCAGTTTGAACTGAAAATCCTCTCTGAGGTTCATCTCCTTGGAGCGGTCCCAGCTGCCTACTGAGTGGTGACTTTATCTGGCCGCTGTGTTTACGGGGTGCAGCAGCGGTGACCCTAGCAGGAGGCAGCGCTAGAGGGGTAGTGTTTATGTCCAGTCTATTAGCAGGCATCAGGCTAATGCTTCGCTTTTCCAAACAGTGTAGGATTGATGAGGGTGGTGGCGCTAAAATATTACCTTAGCCATTCATTGCACAGCCGGGACACTCATCAGCGGTTGTGAAGAGGCCCATGAGTGTTTACACTAAGCCACAGAGAGAAGGGTGGGAGCTGTCACAGTCCACACCGTTGAGCCTGATCTAATGCACCTCACTGATCCACACATACGCTTACTACCTTTGTCTGTACCTTTTATTCGTTTTCCCTCGTGTCTGGGATTGGGAAATGAGAACCAGTTGAAATTGATGTATAGTCCATTTCCAGAACTATTATGAGCCAGATCTTTTTAGTGATCCAAAACCACACAGGACAGCCAGTGTAGTTCAGTTGATTCCCAAATGAATGACTCTTATAAACCAGTTATTTTTGTGAATCAAACACATACACCTTACTGTGTTTTGTAGTGCTTAAGACTTGTGACACTTAAATTTAAATTCAGTCATCATTTACTCACCCTCAAGTTGTTACAAACCTGTATGAATTTCTGAATAAATGAATGAAATATGAAATTTACACTACCGATCAAAAGATTGTTGTTGGTAATGTCTTAATGTAGTGTTGTCAAAAGTACTGATGTCTGTACTTCAATTTAAAAAATGTGTCGATACCAGCATTTCCAGCTAGCATTTTGAGCGCTGTTGTGCGGATTCTTAAATGGCTCTGATTGGCCATTGTGTTCACTCGCTCAACAGATATGTCTGTGATTGGCTACAATGATCATCGCTAAGCGCTCTTCACCGAGCGCTTTCAAAGCCACGTCTTTCAGCAGATCCCTAATATATCTGCTCATAGACGGAGCCGCTGATAGATGCTCAAAATGTTAGCGGGAAATGCTGGTATCGTCACATTTTTAAAATTTCAGTACCGACATCTGTACTTTTGACAACACCATCTTAAAGTCTTATAAACTAAAGTCTTAAAGCTTACTCAGGCTGCATTTATTTGATCAAAAAAATTTTAAATACTGTAATATTGTGAAATATTATTACAATTTAAAATAGAGGTTTTAAATCATGTGTTGGCAAAGGTGAATTTCCAGCTTCCATTACTCCAGTCTTCGGTGTCACATCATCAGAAGTCATTCTAATATACTGATTTGGTGCTCAAGAAACATTTCTTATTATTATCAGTGTTGTGCTGATTAATATTTGTGTTTTTTTTCTGGGTTCTTTTAATATATAGTTCAAAAGAAAAGCATTTTATATATATATATATATATATGTATTTATTTATTATTGGAACAATATAAATATGTATATTTTAATATGTAGTTAAGGACATGGATTGCTTGTCACTTAAAACATCAGTGAAAAGGAGTAAATGTGCCTTTTGCAATAACTGCTTTACATTTATTCATTAACAAACCAGAACCGTTAATTCCTTATGTTTTTCCCAAGCCTTATAATTTTCTTCCACAGAATGGTGTCTGTTCATTTGTTGAAATACTTGGTCGTATAAAATTAGCACAATTCTCTAAGTAACAGCTACAAGAAGTCTGTTTACTTAAATATGGTGCCTTCAAACTTTTCTTCTTTGTCTGCTTTTGACCAATCACAGACTGCAGCATATCCTACAGTTTCTCTGCCTTAAAAGAGTACTTATCCACAGGTGGTTGAGAGAAAAGAGCAAAATCAACATATAGTACCTTGCTTATGTGCTTGCCACCCTCTGATTACTGTGGCCGGATTTGGTGCTCTTTTGTTCGACAACAATCCCCATATCGCCTGGTTACCACCACGGTAAACACTTATGTATTTACCCTGAGAAAGGACAAAAGATAAAGACATGGAGCTCTGCCATGAGCAGAGATGAATTTATGCTTGAGGAGATAGAAAGCAGAAAGATGTCTCCATAACCAGAAGTAAATGAACACCCAACGAGACCCAGGTTTCTTTTCACACACTGTCCTGACTTGAACAAGCTTTACAAAGGCTGGCAAATCAGAGTAACAACCCATCGGCAGGGATTAAGTTCGGATTTCATCTTGTCATACAGAAGATAGCGCATTATACCATGGAATCTTGTCAGTGCAGTATCTTTTCTTTGTCAGCCTTCCTAAGATGTTCAGTAATACCTCACTTGTTATATCAGATTTGTGGGTATGTAAAGCTTTGAGCTCTGTGGTTTCCAGACCCTTTATTAAGGCATTCATACCTCTCTAAGACCGCAAATCTGTCAGGTGTGATCTGTAAACACTTCAGTGGAAAATTCTTTATTATTAATTATGATTACTTAATAATAGTCCTATTAATAATTCTTTTAGTACTTTGAATTAAAAACTATGAAGAAATATTTGGGGGAAAATTCAGTTCTATTGCCGAATTGAGATCATTTTAATAATAAATACGTTTAAAACAAATTTTTAATGAGTTCACAGTTTTTTACTGACATTCAGCTGTATGTGTAGATTTACTAAAGAGCCAACTCAAAATATCCATTGGTTCAGGAAAAGACAATGTTTACTTGGTCTGTTTTTGATTCACCAAAACAAAAAAAATTTGGTAAATGAGAATAATTTGTTTGGTAATCAAACTACTCTTGTCATGCTGAATGATTTTGATTCACTAAAAAGAACCAGCTCAAAAGATTCATTTGTTTGGGAATTAGTTGGACTACACTGGTTGTGCTGTGTGATTTTGATTCACTAAAAAAAAGACATACAAGTAATTTGTTCAACAAATTGTTTCCTTAATGAGTTGAAAGAACACATACAAATGATCTGACCCGTCTGAGAACAGTACAACATGATCAAGACAGCACATTTACACTCATTTTGGGTTTTAATGCATATATTTCTTAAACCTCAAACAACGAATGACAGCTCTTGATAAAGTATCATTTTTGACGTGCCTTACGTCAAACACGCAACAAAGCAGCTGTCATCAGCTCTATTTGTACTAATGACACCTGCTGCAACTCTTGTCTATTGACCCTTAAGCTTTCCATAAACAAATGAAAAGAGATTTCATCCCCAGCTTAGTAAACATCCCACCCCCTGCCTCCATGACTCAATTTAGACTTAGATTAGCATCGTAATGATGGCTTGGCCTAATGAGGCCTGAGGGACGAGCTGTGAATTGGGCTGTTTGGAGAACCGCCATGCTTCTCTTCAGCCAGTAATGAGATTATGGCAGTGAATGAGAAAAATGGAGCTTCACCACAATCCCCAAAGCTGAAAACTGAGGTGATGTCCAGTGAGCCACAAATACATTTGGGCCACATGCATCAACACAAACTATTTTAAATCATATGTGACTTTGTATACATAATATAATAGCTACATTTACTCCTAAATGCCCCATTATAGCTCAGAACTACTCGGCATACTTTCCTCCCATCATGTCATAATGCCATAAATTCCCGCTCTCCCGTCTTTTAGCTGTGTTTGTGGCCTGTAAGCCTGTCTCTAATTGCCAGCATCTGTCTGATGGCCTGCTAATGATGGACCCAAGCCACTGAGGAAGCGGAGTGGATGAACTATTAGTGGGCAGGAGTAAAGATGCATCGGTTTCCAGTGCCAGACTACTTAAACCAATTTTCCAGCCTGAAAAAAGACTCAATCCTGTTGAAGTAGTCAGCTATAGAGTGTCTATGCCAATAGCATTGTCTGAATGAATTGTTTTTTTTTGCATCTCCAGTGAGGATCATTTCATTAGAAGGAACCGTCTGTTCTGTTTGCTTAGTTGTCAGTGGATATTATGGACTAACTATTCATGTGGTGAAAGATGAGATCAATAACTTCCGATATCTCCCAGTTTTTCATTTCGTTTGCTTCTCGTAACCGCATATCCTCTCTTTCTCCTTATCTCACAGTGTGCTTGTTGCTTTCCCTGTCCCCTCTTTTCTGGATAATTCTGTGGGCCCTTGAGTTTGTAATGTGAGCAGGCGTGGGTGAATGAGAGAGGGAAAGAGCGAGTGTAGGCTCATGGGAGGAGAGAGGTGAAGAGGTCCATAATAGCCAGCCAGATGGAGAGAGAGAGACAGAGCCGCTCCACTTCAACTATAATAAGGGGTAGTGCTTTTAAATGCCTATTTTACAGCCTTTTTCCAATTCAATTGAATTAACCCCTATTTCCAAGCAATTTGGTCCCATGTTGTCATGGTTACAGAGACGTGATGACAGGATACTAGCGTTCCACCTGAAATGGATCTGTATGTATATGTGTGCAGGCTAATGCAGTTATTTTTCTACAGATATGTGCAGGCTCAGTTATGACTTGAGGTAACATTCATATGCATTTCACACTAATGTGATTTTTTTTCTTGCCGTTTTTGCAGGATCTTTCCGAGAGAATACCTGTTACAGCATGTGCACCTCTACTCATTGGCAGATCTGCAGCAGGTAGTTTTATCTCTTTCCTGTATTAACATCTCAGTTTTTCTTTAAACCCATATATAGTAGGCTCACACAGCATTTTTTCATGCTTATTCATGATTGTTTCGTGCTATGTGAGATAATCTACGAAATTCTGCTGAATGGAGTACAACACTGTAAAATGTTTTACCATTTGAGCTGAGAAATGGTATGGAAATGGAAATTAACAAAGATTTCATAAATGAACATGTAGGATGTGTAGAACGTTGAAGGGTTTTAAACTCTGTCAACACATAACAGTTGCTCCAAAAAGTATTAAAATTGAATGTCATTGCACTAGAAACAAGTGTCCTAGCATAGTAACCACAGATATTCATCACTGTAACTATTAATATGATCCAATAACAATATATTTTTCTCTGCGTGTTTAAAGGATTAGTTCACTTCCAGAATAAAAAATTCCTGATAATTCACTCACCCCTCATGTCATCCAAGATGTTCGTGTCTTTCTTTCTTCAGTCGCAAAGAAATTAAGGTTTTTGAGGAAAACATTCCAGGATTTTTCTCCATATAATGGACTTCAATGGGAACCAACGGGCTGAAGGTTCAAATTGCAGTTTCAGTGCAGCTTCAAAGGGCTCTACACGATCCCAGCCGAGGAATAAGGGTCTTATCTAGTGAAACGACCAGTCATTTTCTAAAAAAACAAAAACATTTATATACTTTTTAATCACAAATGCTCATCTTGCACTAGCTCGACCTCACGCATTACATAATCACGTTGCAAGGTCACGCGTGATGTAGGCGGAAGCACCAACCCAGTGTTTGCAAAGCGAACGTGCAAAGAAAGTCAAGCACCCTTTACAACAAAAGGTAAAACAACGATGACGGACGATTTTGAAGTTGGAGCAGAAAATTAGATGGAGTTTTTCACCCTACCCTGCGTGAATTTGCGGATGCGCAATGCAGAACTAGTGCAAGACGTGCATTTCTGGTTAAAAAGTATATAATTTTTTTTTAGAAAATGACCGATCGTTTCACTAGATAAGACCCTTATTCCTCTGCTGGGATCGTGTAGAGCCCTTTGAAGCTGCATTGAAACTGCAATCTGGTGTGTGTATGATGGCCGAAGGAGCTTCCTCTGGAACTTACACGATCGGCAAAAGGCCGTTTATTGTTTTATTGCAGCCGATCTCTGTTCTGGCTGGACTTGCACAAACTGCGTTGCAATGCATATCATTTTCCAAATGTAATTTATGTGAAAATATGAAGTCTGTAAAC